ATGTATTGCACCCACCCTACCTATACCCTCGCCCTCCCTCCCCTCCCTTAAGCCCATGCCCGAGCATACCTACACTCTACCCTACCACTGCCCCTTCCAGTAGTTTTTTTCTTTCTCTCTCTCATTCTCTCACTCTCTCTACTGTCTCTTCTCCCTCGTCTCTCTTCTCTCCTCCTCTCTCTCCACACTCTTGTCTCGCTCGTCTCCCTCGGCTCTCTCTTCTCCTTCCTCCCTCTCCTTTCGCTCCTCTCTCTCCTCTCGCTCCTCTCCCCTCTCTCCCCCCTCTTCCCTCTCTCCCCTGTCTCCCCTCCCTCCCCTCTCTTCCCTCCTCTCTCCTCTCTCCTCTCACCCGACTTGCCGTTTGCAACGGTCTTTACGCGGTCTTCCTGCACTCGAAGTGCCTTTCGCATCGGTGGCGTCGGTGTTTCGTGCTTGCGTGGAGGGGGGTGGCTTGGTGGGGGGAGTTACTGACATAGTCAGCAGGGGGCGGGGGGAAGAGGGCGGGTGTTTTCCGGAGATAGTCAGGAAGGGGGGGGAGGGGTGTGTGCAAGTGTCCATCACACGGGATCACACGGGAGGGGCGTGGGTGTTTGCCTGTCTTATCGCTGTTTTTGGCGCGTCCCGGTTGCACTACCATCGTAGTAGAAACGAAAACTAGCTACGCTAGCTTTCGTGAAAAACGCTAATCTTCTAGATATCGATCAAAACCAACCTAAAATTCAAGAAATAATAACGTTCAACATTATTTCAAGCAGCATCATCGACGAAACAAAAAAGTGCACTCCCTCAGCCAGAATCATTTACGCATATTTTCGTACGATATATATATATATATATATATATCCATATCCGTAGTGGTAGTAATATTTTGTCGCCTCTATGGCAGTTGTTTGTTCGTCATATAAAGAATATTCGTCGATATCGTGGTAGTCAAAGTGGTAGAAGTAACAACAAGAGTAGGTGGAGGAGGAGTAGGACTGGAGTAGGAGGAGGAGTAAGGGTTGGAATTGGAGTAGGAATCGTGCTTGTTCTTGTGGGTCATGGCCTGATCTTTCGTGTCGGTTTTCGTGGGTCTTTCGCGGACAACGTATTATTCATATCATTCATACAACTGTAACTGCCTCAGGCACGACGTTTTCGTGCTCACAAGGCATTGGCTTGGCCTGCCCTTACCCTGCCACAAAGTCGCCAGCTTTAGTCTTGCATCGACCTGAAAGCCTCAAACCGTGGCTTTGGGTGTACTGAGACGTGGTGCGATGAAAGGCCTTGAACCTGAATGCCTGTGAAAGCATTGCGTGTTCTTCAAAGTCCTATACGCTCTAAGCCTATTATGTAAAACGTTCGCGGATATTTGTTTTCCTTTCGCGGACCCATCGCGGATCTTTCGCGAGCACAGCTTACGTTTGTTTTGTATAAATCCGCAGACAAAGACCTTGAGATCCATGCTCAACTTTTGTTTTGATTAGTTTCGCGATTTTCATCGAGAAGCTGAATGCCATTGCATCCGCTTCTGCCGGGCTCCATTGAAAATGCAGGAAGCATGTCTTCGACAGGTCCTCAAATTCAGCTACATACCCAGGCCTCAGCAGATTTCCAGCACAAGCAACAACGTGAGATCAATTGGGCATGTTCACTGCTCAGAGCGAGGCATTACCAGGGTCTCCTCGAGAACACCTGAGACAAAATCCTCTCCGAAGCGCAGGAAGCGTTGCCAGCGACTCTTTCTTGCCGAGGTGCTCTGGAAACTTTGTCGCAGAAGCCTCCACCGGCGCAATGCCTTGTCGTCGCGACAGCCACTGTGCGAGGTCTCCATACAAGGATCACGACTGGTTCAACAGCTGGGCAAGACAGTACCAAGCACATAAACAGCCAAAATGCAACGAGGTCGACAGCCAGCTCCAAGGCTCAAACAGCACAACATTATGGACGCGAGGTGGACAGTTCTGTGGAAATGACTTTCATATGTCCAGCTCTGCCAAGCAAACAATCTCAGGAGTTAAGCGACTTTTGAGTCGTGCCGTTACACAGCAAAGGCTTGAAGCACAAGCCTGCCCCCGCTCTATATACAACACCACCCCCGTATGTAAGTAACCCAGAGCTGATACCTCTTCGCTCCATACTCGAACATCGTCGTCGTTTTGCATCACTTGCTTGCCAAATGGCGTTGCAGTTGTCGCACGACTAATGCCAAATATCCTTCTAGTCTTCGGCCAGCATCTGCAGAATTCAAGAGCTCTTCCAACAAGCTGATGTCGAGCTTATCATAGATCCTCTTCTCCGACATTTGTGTGATGCTGCGAACCTGCAGCAACGAATAGCGCAGAGATACATGCAATGCGTGGCTCCAGGCTACATGGACCGGTGCCTGGGAATTTTGATCTCCAGGCAATGCTTCTGCTTGATGCATCAGTTCCGGGCTTCCTTCTTCGGCAACAACCGAGCCGTCTGCATCGCAGAAGTCCTGCAAGATCAAGTGCGCGTCGCCAAATGCAGTGGTACTTTGAATCTCGAATGTGCGTGGGCCGACTGTTCATCCGACGATTCACGAAGGGGCTCCGAGACTCTGTAAAACCGCATACATACTTGGGTCTGTTACCTTTGCTGTGGTCTGCCTGTGTTGGATCGCACGGCTGCCACCGCGAAGACAGCTGTCAAATTTCAGAACTCCTCAAAAGAAAACTTCATTTCGACTTGCATCTCAGACTTAGCCGGTATCACATCAGCCCAACAGAAACCCCAGCCTCGGGTCTCACAGAGTTGGCTGCGTGCTGCGACCGAACATCGGGCCCCTTTTGGGCAGCCGTCTCGAACGGGCCGCTTATCTCGAGCCTTAACCCATCTACGAAGTGTGGGGCTCAGTTGTCCAGCAAATCGACCGTGGAGAGGAAGTCCCAGTCCGACACTTTGAGGCTCGCATTGTAGTCGAAGGAGGGCCGACCACGCAAACGAGGGGTTGAACGCCGCAGGCCATCATCTGGAACTCCTCGAAGCCGCCTTTAAATGACAAGCCGCCACCGCCACCGACAACAATACAGTCGAGTTCCTCGCTTGCAGCGGCCTGCGTTTTTGTGAAGGAGCAAGCTCTGCATGCTCGTGCTCTAATCTGAAAAACTCGGCTGAGTGACAAACAAGACTCAAACAAGCAAGAGCGCTCTTGACGCGACGAGCGATAGAGCTGTGATCTGCCCAGCGCTCGCAAGAGTGAGACCACTCCGGCTGATCGTCATGGGCCATGACGGTGGACAGTCGGGTTCGGGCATTTGCCAAAATCGAATTCAAGACAAAACACAACGACGGCGTTTGTGCAGCCCTAACTACATGGGGAGAAGGCGAACCCTGTCAGCAAGCTCGTCTCCTGTGTGCAAAGATTGACCTCCAGGCATGGCTGCTGCCGCTTCAACGTGTCCTTTGTGACTGCACGGTGCAGGTTTCGAAGTACCGCATGCATCCCGACGCGGACCCCACTTTGTACTGAAGTTGCCCGACGATCCACTGCTGGGGATTTTCGGTTCTCAATCCATTCGAACTCCACGCACGTACGTGATCAGGGCCCCCTTTGGGGCGCAGTTTTTTGCCAAAGCTCCTTTTCTGAATTCTGGCGGGTGCCTCGGGGCTCAGCAGCACCGCACCCGAACACACCCTGAAGCAACTTCGTTTCCAGAGCGGTTAATGTCTTTTTCCAAAGTCACATTGGCACACCAAAACAAGGCTTACCCTCTACAGAAAGTCTTGAACTGTCAAGCAGTAGTAAAGCGAATAGTTTCTAACCCAACTACGAGTTTACTACCGACAATGACATCATTCAGTATTGACTTCCATCTCGCTTGGGTTGCTTTCCAGTGAGGGTTGTAATTTGCTGCAAATGCGTCCTGGCTCTTGTCGCTATGTCGACATTCCACGACTAATATTGACCACCTTGTTAATTTCATTACCAAGGTACGTCCATATTTCGCGAGTACAGGTGTGCCATCTCGAAAATGTATGGCACCCTTCTCTTGGCTCGTAAGTATTGCGGCACACTTGTCTGCCGGCTTTGTACCCACACTTCCGTTCATGCTCCAGGGCGTCGGGTTCGTTGCTACGCATCCTTTTTTTGCGGGTGGTTGCTGCTGGGTTACGCGTTGCTTCGTGGGGTTTGGGCCAACCCATGTCTCAACAGCATTTTGAAGGCCGCTGCCCATCACCGACAACACAACTTGTGTGCTACCCAGCAACCCGTTTTGGGGTCCGGGCTTTTCCGCCCAACATCTCCGTTTAGTTTTCCCGTTGATTCCACCAAATCGATGCAAGTTTCTCGTCTGTTCTCAACCTGTGGGCTTGCCAGCGAGCATCCGCCAGCACCGCTCTGGCTTTCCCACCCAGATTTCCTGGCATCGCCTTCCGGCCCAGCGTGTCTTTCCATGTTGCGCCAGCCCGGCCTGACATCCTTAGGAAAGCCTCCTGGTTATTTCCTGCCCATGATCCCAGCCTCTCGTTTTCTCCTTCGTGGGCTTGGCTTTCGTACCAAGCATCCCGCCAAAAGTGCCGATCTTTCCCAACATTGTAACATAATGAAACACCACTTTCCTCCGCTCAGCACCTCACAATTGAACAGGTTGAAACTAAATTCCTCAGGGTTCGAAAGAATCTTGCCAGCTTCCGTCAACCGAAGGGAAGCTGGCATCGAGCCACGCGGCACCACCCGCCAACCGTCGATGGCCTCATGCAGCGGTTGGATGATGGCCTCGTCATCCTCAGGTCCCTGCATCGCGGCTTCGGCTCCGAGCAACGTTTCTGTCAAAGTTTATGCTTGCCACCCGGCGTCTAGTCTTGGTCTTAACGTTTCAGGTGTCCCTAGCCCAACATATCGGCCTGTTCGTTTGGACATTTCGGGGGTCGCACCCAGCTCACCCTTGCAGGACTCAAGTTCTCTTCCAACATTTGAAGCCCAGCCGCCCGGACATCCTCTTTTCATTTCTGAAGCTATGCCAGCCAGCAGCTCACTCTAGTGTCCCACCCGACATTTCCTGCACGGTTTCGGTCTTCCAACCCACATCTGTTTTCTATGATCTGGGCCTAAGGCTTGCCGGCAAGGTGTGGGTTTTGCCGAACATCACCGCGACAGGCTGAGCAGCCTGAGTCCCTCCTCCGTGGAGCAAGTTTCAATTCCTCCCGCCCCTGCCGCCCAACACACTCTCCGGAAGGCTTCAAGTTCCTCATGCAGCATCTCCTTGTCAAGTTCTAAACAACTCAATGGTGTTTGTTTCTCACCCAAATTTTCTTGCAAGGTTTCGGAACGTTTGCAGCCTCCCACGCAACATCTCCTGCACGGGCTCAGAACTTAAAGTCACCATCACCAGGCTGTTGCGGGCTCAAGGCTTGCCGCCAGCTTTCCTGCGTAACACTAACATTTCAACATATCGTGATTCCCGCCCAGCCGTTGCTGTCTTCCTATCCAGTTTGTGTGGGATTTTGGCCGGCCAACTTCCACTTGCACGGCTTTACCTCTCTCGAGAGCCCGCTAGCGCGGTCCTGCTTTAGATTGACCGTTTAACTGCCGGCATGTGCTTTGCGAGATTGCATGCTTGCCGTCCAACGAGCTCGCAGGACTCAAGTTCCCATCATTCAACACGTTCGGCCTATTCCAACATCCTCTTTCGGGTTTCAGGCTTCGCCAGCCACCCCAGCACCTCCTACGATTTCGGGTTTCTCGAGCCGTGATGGCAAGCACCCGGTGTGCATCTCTTCGTGGCGTTTGGGCCCATGTCTGAACACATCTCCAACCCTACGTTTCCTGATTGAGGAAAGGTCAACATGATCTTCTCATCGTTCAAGTCTGTCACCAGCAAACCCGCTTAGAGTTTTTTTCCCACCCGATGTCTCCGAAGAGTTTGTCGCTAGTCTCACCGTCTCACCCAGTGGTTGCGGTGTTCCGAGCAACGCTTTCTTTCTGGAGCTTTGGGTTTGCCAGCTAAGCCAATGCCGCTTGTACGGCTCTACATCTTGCCACGCACATGGCACAAGGCCCGACAGCGGTTGCAGTTCTTCTACACAGTTTTCCTGTCCAGGGCTTCGCGTCTGCCATCCAAGAACCACCATCTAGAAGGGCCGCTTGGAGAGGATTGCGGCCCAGGATCTTCTTGCAAGCAGCTTTCCCATCTAATTTGGCAGGATTTTGGTGCGTAACGTTTCCAACCGATCAATTCCGCTGTCAAGATGAAGGCTCCCCTTACAAGGATCCGGGTTGAAAAACGCCTCCTGCTCGCTCAAGTGCGCCATTTGGCCTGTGATTCTCGTCGTACCGGTGCTGGTCTCCTGCATATCTTCAATTTAGGACTTGCGACGAAAAAAACCTGTAGGACGTAGGATGGAAACTTCTCATGAAACATCCGGTCGGGCTTCAGGCCTTCTTTTCGGGTTGGTTCCCAACCAACATTTCCTGCGAGGATGCGAGTTTCCGGGCCACGCGATCTGGGGAGTCAGTCGGTTTTGCCGGCCAGCATCCCTGGCCTGCGGCTGCTTCGGATTCCCCGAGCAACATCACCCTTAAAGTGTACGCCTGCCATCAGTCAGATAGTTTTACTCCGAATGTTTCAAGTTCTTTGTCGTCAACCAGCAAACCCGCTTAAGGCTCTTTTCCACGCAGCGTTTCCGAAGAGTTTTACACTAGCCTCACCCAGCGGTTGCGGTGTACTCAACAATTTCTTTCTGGAGCTTTGGCTTAGCCAGCTAAGCCAACACCCGCTTGTACGGCTCTACTTCTTGCCACCCAGAAAGCCCGTCAGCTCCTACGTCTGCCAACCAGCAACCACCATCCAGAGGGCCGTTTTGGAGAGGATTGCGGCCCAGGATCTGCTTGCAAATTTTTCCCATCTAATTCAGCCGGCTTTTGGTGCGTAAGGTTTCCAACCGACCAATTCCGCTGTTGCGATGAAGGCCCCGCGCAGCATCTCCTGACAAGGATCCGGGTTTAATAACGCCTCCTGCCCGCTCAAGTGCGCCATTTGGCCTGTGATTCTCGTCGTATCGGTGCTGGTCTCCTGCATATCTTCAATTTAGGACTTGCGACGAAAAAAACCTGTAGGACGTAGGATGGAAACTTCTCATGAAACATCCGGTCGGGCTTCAGGCCTTCTTTTCGGGTTGGTTCCCAACCAACATTTCCTGCTAGGATGCGAGTTTCCGGGCCACGCGATCTGGGGAGTCAGTCGGTTTTGCCGGCCAGCATCCCTGGCCTGCGGCTGCTTCGGATTCCCCGAGCAACATCACCCTTAAAGTGTACGCCTGCCATCAGTCAGATAGTTTTACTCCGAATGTTTCAAGTTCTTTGTCGTCAACCAGCAAACCCGCTTAAGGCTCTTTTCCACGCAGCGTTTCCGAAGAGTTTTACACTAGCCTCACCCAGCGGTTGCGGTGTACTCAACAATT